TTTTTTTAGACATGACTGTATTTTTTTAATTATATATATATATATATATATATATATATATATATATATATATATATATATATATATATATATATATATATCAAATATTGTCACATGTATGTTATGCAACTTTCATAAAAATCTTGTGAAGGAATGTGTGCAGCAATTAAATTTATCATCAGTGACCGTCACGCAAATTTGCGAAATTGTTATTAAATTCACTACTGAATAGTAAGGTCATAGGTAACAGAAAATATTGTTGATATTTCACACTGTCAAATTACACTGTCCTAAAGATACAGTCAAGTTACGCTGTCCTTAAGGTGTTAATCAATTTGCACTGTCAAAAAATTACAGCCAAGTTACACTATTTTTAAGATACAATCAAGTTACGCTGTCCTTAATATACACTAAAGCTGTTCTGTGCTAACGGAATAGTCAAGTTACGATGTCCTTAAGGAAGTCTCGTTACACTGTCCCAAAGGTACAGTCAATTTATACTGTCCCTAAGATAGTCATTTTTCACTGTCCTAAAGATATAGTAAAGTTACATTGTCCTAAATGTACAGTGAGGTTACATTGACCTTAAAGTACAGTAAAGTTACACTATCCTAAAGGTACCGTCAAGTTACACTGTCTTAAAGTTACTTTCAGTCTACATCACTCAACACTTATGAGTAAAGTTGTATGAAAAAAGATATAAAAACTGCTCAAGTACTGGAAAATACTTGGCAGGTTTCGGGATATAAAAAAGGCCTCTTAGTGGCTCTGGCCCTGATTTCACAAAATAAAATTGATGGCCAGATTTGACAACCTAATTCTAAAATTCTTTAATCCAGTCTCATTTTCACCAACAAGAGTCTCAACTTAAGACATTTAATTGGTTCATTTAAATTGGTCAGTTTCAAATTTATTCAATCAATCGCTGGATTCTACACTCAAATTTAGTATAGACTTAAGTTCTGATGCTGAAATTAATATCTGATTGGTTGAGTATGATATACTTCTCAACAATCAATAGTTTTTGTTAAGAGTTATTTTGGGGTCCCGAAACACCTTGCCACTAGCCTCCTGTGGGTCGGTTGTTCTTCCCAGGATTTTCTCTGGTTTTCTTCCACCGGTTATACGGGCCGCCATTTATAGCCTATCGTGTGCTGAAAAAAGGCGTTAAACCAGAGTAAAAACATAATTAGATCAAGGTACATCTTGGGGTCAGTTGAAATTTATTCAGCTGTGGTCTAGCTTAAAATGTACTTACTATATAGTTCATGGTAAATAATCTAGACGAGCGTTTTTCCACAACAGTTATTTTCATGATTTTTATTTTAGTAATAATCATGCATTATATACGTGAATAAAATCAGGTACAAAATCTTTTGGAAAACGAATAGTTTCCACACGCTGATCTTTGTAGAATTGCACTGCGTTTCTGATAGTCACGTGGATTGTTTCCATTTTTGACAAGTTTATAAGCTAATGGCTTCGGTTACCTCGTGCGAGAATATAACGATTTTTTTTTATTTCTTGTCTTTATACTCACTAACTAGCACAGTCGCTGCAGTCGCAGAGTAGTCTACGAACTGGCTGCTAGTTTTGTGCCAGATGTTATGGAAAATTTCGTGCACACCAGTCATTTCCCTCAGCTAAAATGGCTATAATTATAAAAACGATCTGCTTTTATAGTTATTTTGAGAGCTTGTACAATTCATTTCCAAAAATGAGGGTTTCGGATGAAGCAAATATGTTTTTTTAAGTATAAAGAATAAAACAAATTCTTGTATAATTTCACGTTGAACGTACTTGTCAGATTGATTTAATGAATAAAGGATTAATTATGTTGACATTATTTGTTTATTTGCTAAGGATGAAGTACTGATGAGAACTACTGGCAGAAGCGACGTCATCACAAACATTGGAAATTACCCTCCTGCCAACGTTAGCCTTAACATTTATTCCAAATGGTATTTGTATTTCAAGCACTGTAAAAGTCTTTAAGTAATTTAATCGAATAATATTAATTTGTCGTTCTAAGTGATAGGACGCTTTTAAAGGTTTCCTAACATTATCATTATTTAACACTTTATCTACTGGACAACGTCAGTAAACTATTTACTGCGGATATTAAGCACACTGTTAGAAATATAGCTTTGTAAAAGCCCAAAACTAGTAAAATTAGTAAAAATAATGAACGGGGAAAAAGCAAGCGCAAAATGTGCGCAGATATTTACAAGAAAACTCTGAAAGAATGAAAAGAAAAATCAACTGGTATTGTTCATTTGTGTTTCATGTTTTCCTGTGTTACGAGAATTCTGCCTCCCCGATTGTTTTAAGTTTTTTTGTTTTTGTTTTTTTTTTGGCGGTGAGGAATGAGGCAGCCTATTTTGTTTTAAAGGCGCTTGCTGCGATATTACAACTGATGTTTGACTTTCTTCGAATAGTTTAAATAAAAACTTTGGTAAGTGTAATTTACTGTGAAACTATATAAAAAGGACACTTGAGAGCCAGAAATACTTGACTTCTATGGACAGGTGTGCTTTGCATTGAGATTTAACAAAACAAAAACGAAGAAGAGCTGATGATTGTTTGTCCTTGTTAGAGGCACATATACACAATACATACTATGTGACCAGAACTGTCCTTTAAATTTGTGAAAGTATCGCAGCCTCGTTATATCAACGTCGTCAATATTTCTGAATAAATTAGTTTTAAAAATATATAAACATTCCGACCTATTTCCGTCACTAAAGTTCTGAAACATTGGTCGTCTTTGGACAACCAGAACCATTTCTCTTATGTTCTGTCATTTTTATTCTGTTTTACTCCCGCTGTAGAGATGGCATGCGTTGTCAACACGTGATCAAGGTTCTGGATGTTAGAACGAGAAGAACCACATGAAGATTGCAGTCGTGAATAAGATACAAACTAGTACAAAAAACAACATATGTAACACTCCTTCTCACAGGTGTAGTCAATACATCAGTCTGAAAATAAGGTGTATTACTACACTGGTCATATAGGTTTCCTGTTATAACTTGGTTAGCGTTCATTAAAAGAACAGGGAAGGAACGGGGTTCCGATAGTACTCGATTCTGATACCTACAGTTCCTGCAAATTTTAATGGTGACGCAATCCTTAAATACGATTGAATTGAGCCTTTTAAGAAACTGTTTTCATAAAATTTATTATAATAATATCTCCACTGTGAGTTTTAATCTTAACGTTGCTTAGAATATATTTAAATACATTACTATAAGTAAAATTGGAGTAAACCAAATTCTTTCACCTACCGTAAACCGAAATTTTACTCCTTAGGTTCAAAATATCGATATGCTATTCATATAATTGTGATGGGACTAAAGGTCACAGGACATTGACCATAGGACGATTGGTCGTAGCCATATATTTATATGGAGTTTTGGACACAAGTTGGTTTGGTCATAGGGATTATTGGTCGTGGTGCTATCGTTCATTGGATCCCAAATAGATAAAAGCTACTATATTCGTTTCGTATGACTATCCAAGTTCATTCGCAAGACCATATACAAGAAGAATTAGTTTTCTTTTCTGTCTGAAGCATTGTAAACTACTGAATCTGAGTCAATTAGCAACATATGTTGTTTTTTGTACTAGTTTGTATCTTATTCACAGTAAATCATTACATATGTTGTTTTTTGTACTAGTTTGTATCTTATTCACAGTAAATCATCACATATGTTGTTTTTGTACAAGTTTGTATCTTATTCACAGTAAATCATTACATATGTTGTTTATTTGTACTAGTTTGTATCTTATTCACAGTAAATCATCACATATGTTGTTTTTGTACTAGTTTGTATCTTATTCACAGTAAATCATTACATAAGTTGTTTTTTGTACTAGTTTGTATCTTATTTACAGTAAATCATTACATGTGTTGTTTTTCGTTCTAGTTTGTATCTTATTGAAAGTAATTCATCACATATGTTGTTTTTTGTACTAGTTTGTACCTTATTCACAGTAAATCATCACATATGTTGTTTTTTGTACTAGTTTGTATCTTATTCACAGTAAATCATTACATATGTGGTTTTTTGTACTAGTTTGTATCTTATTCACAGTAAATCATTACATAAGTTGTTTTTTGTACTAGTTTGTATCTTATTCATAGTAAATCATCACATATGTTGTTTTTTACTAGTTTGTATCTTATTCACAGTAAATCATCACATATGTTGTTTTTTTTTTACTAGTTTGTATCTTTCTCACAGTGAATCATAACATATGTTGTTTTTTTGTACTAGTTTGTATCTTATTCACAGTAAATCATCATATATGTTGTTTTTTTTACTAGTTTGTATCTTATTCACAGTAAATCATTACTATCCTGGTTTCACGCGAGTAATTTTCTGCAAAATATTTGTATTAGTTTTAAGTCATTAAAACAAACCCCAACAAAAACAAAACAAAAAACAACAAACACCCCACCAAAAAACCCCCACCCACATAACTGACTCTGCTTGAGTTAATAGCGCTACTAAAGCATTCTTTGAATCGACAGTGGCGCCATCATGAACAGAGGTGTCTAGAGTTTGGTGATGGTAAGACAACACTTCCTCCATGTCCTACATATATGGAATTTGACATCGCAGCGCAGCCCAAATCGCAGATCTCATATTCCATGAGGAGTAGATCGAGTTCTTTTTTTTTTTGTGAGAACAATTAGATGATTTGGCTGGACTTTTGATGTCATTTACCAACACTCATGGTTGTACCTGGCATCTTTGTACCGGTTTCAACCTTGCCGCTCCGTACTGTTTGTTACCAAGTCAACTTACCAAACATACATCTGTGCACCGAAAGAGATGAAACGTTTAATTCCAGAAGCTGCACGGAACGTAATATTGACCGATTTTGAAATAAGCGTAATGTCTTCATTTCGAGATATATTCCAGAGTGTTATAGTAATATACTTTCATCTTTCACAAACGATTTCTCCGCAAACTTAACGTATTTGTAATGACGCTCCGGTGGCCTAGTAGGTAGAACGTCAATCTCGGATGCTGTAGGTTGTGGGTTCAAACCTCATCCGAACCATTCCAAAGATTTATGAAAATGGTACCAACACCTGCCTTGTTAGGCGCTCAGCATTAAGAGTTTAGTGTTATGCCTATTCGGCATGGTGTCAGCATAATGTGATTGGGTGGGACATCATGCTATAGTGTCTGCGGCATGATGCCCCAGTGCTAGACAGCACTACAAACTGCCACACTGCAGACATCGTAGTGATATGACCGAAAAAGTGTTAAAACTACGTAAAAAATCTAAATCACACACACACACACACACACACACACACACACGAATTTGGAATTAATGTTTGGGTAGGAATATGAAACAAATAGTGAAGTTAGTGGCTCAGTTACTTTGTTTCAGTGCAGTAATACAACTAAGCGGAAAATTAATGGATGGATTGAGAGTCATTCCAAAGATTTATGAAAATGGTACCAACACCTGCCTTGTTAGGCGCTCAGCATTAAGAGGTTAGTGTTATGCCTAGTCGGCATGGTGTCAGAATAATGTGATTGGGTGGGACTTCATGCTATAATGTCTGCGGCATGATGCCTCATTGCTAGACAGCACTACAAACTGCCACACTGCAGACATCGAAGCGAAATGACCGAAAAAGTGTTAAAACTGCGTTAAAAATCTAAATTACAAAAACACACACACAGACACACGCGCGCGCGCGAATTTGGAATTAATGTTTAGGTAGGAATATGAAACCAATGGTGAAGTTTGTGGCTCAGTTACTTTGTTTCAGTGCAGTCATATAACTATGCGGAAATTTATAGATGGGCTGAGAAACGACTGCCCGTTTCAAACAGAAAGCCGCTTTTTTGCAATGGGTTTCCGGAATCGAATATCTTGTCCTGAAACGTTATCGCATGGTGAGAGAGTTATCAGAGCCGTTGCAACGTAAAACCACACTGATGTCGCAACATACTAGGGTGCAGTTGCATTTTTATCGCATATTTAGAAATATTAACTTAAGCACATATTCTAGGTAGAAACTAAAAGCATAAAATAGACTATACTAACTATATACAAATCCTGGTAATTTTTAAAAATTATTATAGTTTATAGTTTCGGAATTATTACGCTTAAAACTTTACGGTGAATAAAAGTAATTTATATTACGATTGTTAAATGCTTATTGATTATTAAATATGACTGATACTTATGGGAAATAGTCCTTATGGTCAATGGTCCTTACGGCCAATAGTCCATTTGACTATATGACTATAACAGTATCTCTTATAGCCAATTGAACAAATGAATGTTAATCCTAGAACTAATAGAACAAAAACATGCGTATTGTACACAATTATTTCAAATAGTATATGAGTGTAACTTTTCTCATTATTTAACAAAAGAAGACCAATACTAAAATCCTGCAATCTTCCTTTATATGAAACTTTAAAAAGAAAAGAAAAATGAAATTGTCTTATTCAAAAGAATGAAGCATGATATATATGACTAAATTCATATATGTTACAAATAAAAACAATTACCACCATATATATGTATGTATGTATGTATATATATATATATATATATATATATATATATATATATATATATATATACATACATACATACATATATATATATATATATATAAAAAGAAACAGCAATATTTATGCAGTACATTTTATACGCTAAACAAGCCCTTAAACCTTGATGCACGTGATTAATATTGCAATCGTTGTTTGTTTACCTGACACAGATAAGGTCAATGTACCTTACATTCCTATGGTCAACGCCCTACTAACAGAAACCGTGTGGCTGCAAATCACCGTTAGTGTCTTTAATATTAACATTTATATTAAAGGTCAGTTTTTTCGAAAACAAAAAGAACAACAAGACGAAACATTGCTTTCAACAAAAAGAAGAAAAAGAAAGAAGTGTTGACATACACGCTATTAATATTTATATTAAACTTTATCCTTTGGAGGAGGTCAGTGACCTTTTTCCTCCGTGTGAAATCATCGTACATTGTCGGAGGTTGCTTGACAAAACACGAAAGTGGAATACGGAATGTTAGAAAAGAAAGACACGTGCAGTAATGACACACAGATTTATAACAAAAGTCGAAGCAAAGATTGAAATAAAGTTAAGCCCTAAAAGTGCGCCATCTTTCTTCATTCCTTTATGAGTATTCTCTGTTCCGATTTGGCCTTAATAGCGGGAGCTTTCAACAATGATAATTGTTTCAAATTAAAACTATGTTGTATATATATATATATATATATATATATATATATATATATATATATATATATATATATATATATATATATATATATATATATATATATATATATATATATATATATATATATATGAGGAACCGACATACCTGACTTTTGTGGATAGGTGTGCTTTTCAGAGATTGAATATCGAATGAAATATGAAGAAGAGTTGATAAATGTTGTCTTTATTGGTTGTGTCCCCGAAGTCCGGTTTGATATATTAATAATGATATTTACTAAACGATGATAACAATTATTCTAATTTGTTGATTAATTTGACTTAAGTTTTCCTATTAAAATATATCACCATTTTGTGTTATTCCCAACATCAGTTTTAACACAGTGGCTTAACTACACTCGACGGCACAGTGTTGCTGTAATGCGATATTTCGATGCTGTTGGGTTGGGGGTGTCCTGCTAAAAAACCCAGTCAGAATTAAATCCATAATCTTCAATATGAAGACATGATTTGCTGGGCCATTATAGATACCTCTCCCGAAATTGACGCACTCAGCTTTTTTATATTAACATCACTCCTGCATCTGACGTAATCGGCTCTAATTTTTATATTAGTCCTGCATTTGGTGTACTCGGCTGTAGTTTATATCAGTTTTGCAGTTTCAATGACAACACAACCTTGAAAGAGCGTAGTTTTATGACTTTTGATAAAATTGTTTCATCAAAAGAAATATCGAATTTAATGTTGCTATTTTAGCAGTTTTACTTGGAACTTTGTCTGCATTGTTGAAAAGAACTTGGTTCAACAGTATCCTAGGAATCCCAATCATTAGGAGATACTACCGGGCCAGCCTTGGGTTTGAAATAATATGAAAAGGGTTAATGCCTTGGTCAGTTCTTACTTGTTTACTACACAAACACGAGGTCACTGACCGTCAGAGAGAAAAATGTCGTAAACACGAGGAAGTAAGATTCTAATATTAACTTTAGTATTTACGTTAAACATATACACGTATGGTTTCCTAATATGGAATAACATACATTCAAGGAAAATGTATCCATTACAATAGTTTGTTCACGTCAACCGATAGAAACGCTTTTCAGATATTGTCATTAGAAAGGTTTAAATAAAAAAATGTTACCTAAGATGAGGTAAGAAGAAAACACAACCAATAAATTAAATTGTTATCTTAGATGAGGTATAAACAAAACCCAACCCTCCTGTAAAGATTAGAACGTTATCCCCATGACGAAGTAAGCAACTATCTTGTGTTAAGGTTATAAATGTTATCCCTAGGACGAGTTAAGTTACTATCTCCTGTAAAGATTCAAGATGTTATCCATAGGACGAGGTAAGCAACAATCTAGTGTTGATACTCAAAACGTTATCCCCATGACGAGGTAAGTAACTATCTCATATTTAGATTAAACAGTCTATCGGCACTTGCTCGAAAAACAAAAAAGACTGTGGCATATATACTGATCGGAAAAAACGAAAAATATCTGCAAAACCGGCAGAGAGATTTCAATGAAGACTCTTTGAAAAGGCACACTTTAGAAACCACCAATTGTACACTATTTTTTTTTCTTCGTCTAAGGTTATAACAATGTGTTAAAGTCTGCATTGGTATTGATAACTGACAGGAAGTGTTACAGTCTGAGAATAGAGTAATGTGAAAACAAGAGCATTTATACAAATCGAAACGTGAAGAAATCGAGTTCGTACATGTTGGCATTCTTGGAGGTGTCCGTTGAGTGTGGTATTACTACTATATATATATATATATATATATATATATATATATATATATATATATATATATATATATATATATATATATATATATATATATATATATATATATATATATATATATATATATATATATATAACATAGATCTAAGTTCTATTGCCAATGACCTGACGCCCTAGCCTAAGTGCAACGCAGTGTAAAATTTATTACCGTTATGAAAGACCCCAATTCCTAGTTCAGTACAATCCAATGTGTATCTTATTACCACCACTAAGAGCCTGACATCCTAGCTCAGTGCAATCCAATGTGTATCTTATTACCACCATTAAGTACCTGACATCCTAGCTCAGTGAAATCTGATGCGTATTTTATTACCACCATTAAATAACTGACATCCTAGCTCAGTGAAATTTAATGTGTATCTTATTACTACCACTAAGGGCCTGACATCGTAGCTAAGTGCAATCTAATGTGTATCTTATTACCACCACTAAGGGCCTGACAACCTTGCTCAGTGCAATCTAATGTGTATCTTATTACCACAAATAAGGGCCTGACAACCTAGCTCAGTGCAATATAATGTGTATCTTATTACCACCACTAAGGGCCTGACAGCCTAGTTCAAGTGCATTCCTATGTGTATCTTATTACCACCACTAAAGGCCTGATGCATTAACTCAAATACAATCCAATATGTATTTTATTACCACCATTAAGGGCCTGACATCGTAACTCAAGTGCAGTCCTATTTGTACCTTATTACCACCATTAAAGGCCTCACAACGTAGCTCAAGAGCAATCCAATGTTTACATTATTACCACCACTAACGGTCTAACATCTTAGCTCAAGTGCAATTAAATGTGTATATTACTACCAACACTGAAGGCCTGCAATCCATCGTAGATCTTACTATCATCACCAACGACCTGACACCTTAGCCAAGCCTAAGTACAATTGAATGTGTATCTTATAGGCCTGACATCTTTGCTCAAGTGCAACTCTAAAGTTCATTTTATTGCTGTAACCAAAGGCCTAATACTTTAGTTTAAATGCAATCGAACGACTATT